GCACCGTGTGATGTGGTAAAAACGTTTTAAGGACAGAGAGCTTAGTTCTCGCATCGATCATCCTCATGTCTATAGATATAAAATATCTACTGTTACTGAAAATGAGATAGAAAGAGAGAAAAATGCAGAAGAGGGAGTTACTACTGATTTTAACAATGTTAGTTGGAATTCAAAAGCCTTAATGCTATTTTTTTTTTTATTTGTGAATTCTAATCAATTTCACTTGATATCTACGCCCAAGGTAGCCAAGGAAGTATGGGATATACTACAAGTGACTTACGAAGGAACTTCCATTATGAAGTATACTAAACTTTTGATGCTCATCCTTGAATTTGAGTAACTAACTATGAAAGATGATGAACCTTCAAGTATCTCTAGGCCAAGCTCAGTGACGTCACTAATTCGACTTACGCCTTGGAAAAGAAATACTCCGAAAGTAAGTTAGTGAAAAAGATTATTAGACCACTACATGATAGATACCATTCTAAGGTAACTGCCATCGATGAGAGTAAAAATATAAATATCATAAAGGCTGAAGAATTGTTGGGGTCCTATTGACTTATGAGTTGTATCTCTATAAGAGAAAGAAGGAAAACAAATGCTCAAGAATTGCATTTAAAGCAAAAGAGGTTGAGGTGTGATAGTGACGAGCATATGACTATGCTCAGTAAACAGTTTAAGAAATTCCTAAAGAGCAATCAGAAAGGAAGAAGCTCGAGACATCAACCACCACAAAAGAAGAAGTTATTTAACAATTCAAGCCAAATCCAACTTTATCCATGGAGAGATCTCAAAATCGTATTCAATGCCATGAATGTGAAGGATTTGAATACATAGGTGCTGAATGTACTAACATACTAAAGAAATCTCAATTTGAGAAAGCAATGAATATTACATGGAGTGAAGATGAGGATAGAGAGCCAGACTCAGACGAGGAGGACTATATAGACGATAACCAAGTAACCTCATTTGCTGTTAACTTTCAATTTAATGCTAAGTCATCGCAACTGTTGCCCGCATGTTCAAACTCACTGAACAATTACAAAGTTAGATTTGTAATTAATTAATAATAGTTAATTAACAATTGAATTAAGTAATATGTACAATGATCTGATGGATCCATACATTTTTGTTTTGTTTATCAATTATTAATTTTTTATTTTAATTATTTTAAGTGAAAGATGTTAAGAGACCATGTTGCCTTTTTAAAGATGGTCAAATACTCATCTTTTGTTTAATTAATGAATTTTTGGATGAAGATCGTCTAGATGTCCTTTTAACGCACATGTTTGAAAGGTTTATAAAATACCTCCTATAATTTAAATATTTAAGATTGCGCTGCATTTTTTAAATATATTTGGAACTTCTACGAATTTCTCTAAAATAAATGAAAAGAAGTTGAGATTAATAGACAAAGATACCAAGATTGTAATAATTTACATATTGGATAAGAATAATGTTATCTATAGTCAGCTACTACTGTAGTTATTGTACGTAACATGTTGTGTGGCATAATCTTAATAGTTAAAAAAATTATAAAAAATTTCTTATTTCGTAATTATTAAAAGTATGCCAAATAAGCTAAGTACTATAATCACTGACTATAAATGATACTACACATTGGACAAAATCAAGCTCGAGCTCTCCAACATGAACAGATTATCATCGATATGACTTTTTTTCTTTTGCCACATTTTGTTTGCGTGTTATCAAAATCGGACCGAATCAATCGGTCTGGCCCGAAAACCATCGAATCGGACAGAAGTCCTGTTAGTGTTATTTGGTCTACTTGCAAGTGAACTGGTCAAACAATTCAATAATACTTTGAATCGGACGATAGTACAAAAAAAAAAGCAAAATTGGTTCAATGTGAACTATTTTTTTATCAAATTAGTCCATAGCAAAATTCAATTTCAAATTTGAAGAAAAAGAGATTCGAACCTTTGTAGCTTATACG